TCTTGTCATTTTTAAAATAGCTCGCAAAAACATACACAAATACTTATTTGGTTGCTACTTTTGGAAAACATATATGCATTTTGTGGTCATCTTCTTTTGGGCAATAGTGACCTTTTTGATGCCATCAATAATAAAGTTACCAACTTCATCATATGTGGATTTTTGCTTTTATAGATAAATGTATCCGCCTTCAATATATATGTTTTCACAGTATATGAATTTTGTTGTGTAATGTAAACTAATTGGAATTGAGTTTGATCAAACTAAGAAGAAAGAAAAATTTGTAATGTTATCTTATGCTTAGGCTTGAACTCACATGATGTGCTATGCTAGTACAATTTGTTTTTTCTTTATCATATGATGAAAAGTTTTTCATCTTTTCAAATCTCATTTGTTTATTTCATAATCTATTCAAGTGTTTCATCAATTAGCTACATATTAGCTTAATACTATAAAATTAGTGTTCATATATGTTTGAGAACAAAGCTTGAATTTGATGAGTGAGAATATGATTTTGAAAATTGTAAGCTTCGGTTTCATGTGAAAAGTCTATTAGTTCACTTCCAAATCGCAAAAATACAAATAAAAACAGTGAAACCTAATAATTCTTTATAGCTCCAATAAAAAAAAAGTTAGAGACTTTAATTTTGATAAAATTGTACATAATCAATAAATATTGAATTTGATTCTTTACAATGTTTTCAGTGAAACTCCATTAAAGTCTATGATTGCACTCTTCACTCTATCGAGTTTTGATTTGATTTTTTATCTCTAATTCATATAGATTGTTTGATCCGCCACTTTTGGGTCCAGTTGATCAAGGGGAATTTTTTTTTTGCTGGTCAATCCCTCTAACTAGACAACTTGAGGCGATATTGCGTCTCTATCATCCCCATTTTCCAATGGACGGATCTCTCGCTATCCAGGAACTAATCAATCTCGTTCCCTATGATTTAATGCTGCCATATGACTTAGATGATTATGATGAATATAACAACATTAACAATATAGAAAAGAACAAATTAAGAAAATTACCCGTTAACAAAATCTTGTAGCAAATCCACAAAGGGATGGTCCAACAGGTACAACTTGATGTGTCGAACGTATCTATCGTGCATACACACAAAAATGTAAGTAAAATTGATATTGTTTGCTTGAATTATATTTCAATTTCAGAATGTATTGATTATGAGAGTTTATGTATATATAGTCTACCTCGATCCAACTACCTTTGTTCATATATGTTCGAGAACAAAGCTTGAATTTGATGTGTGAGGATATGATGTTGAAAATTCTAAGCTTCGATTTCATGGGAAAAGTCTACTAGTTCACTTCCAAATCGCAAAAATACAAATCAAAACTGTGAAACCTAATAATTTTTTATAGCTTCAATAAAAAAAAAAAGTTATAACTTTAATTTTGGAAAATTGTAGTTAATTAATAAAGATTGAATTTGGTTCTTTACAATGTTTTTAGTGAAACTCCATTAATATTTTTCCAACGACAATACACTATACTATCTATTCTAAAATAAGATGACACCAACATTTAATACAATTAAAAATTAACAAATTGAATAACACTGTAATTGAAACTAATTTGATAAGTGACTACTGGAGTAATACTCAATCCAATAACACATGAATCTAAAATAATTCATGAAATAAATAATTGAATAACATTAAATAGAAACCTCGAGTTATTCAAACTCAATTAATTCTAATGTGTTTTTCTTTTTGGTTATTTCATTCAACAAAATGTCCAAAATGTTCCCCAAATTAAAAAATACGAAATCGAATCCCCGAACCGTTTAAACCGACTAATATCATTGGTCAGACTAATTTAAGCTCGTAAACCGGTCGGTACAACATTTTAACTATCCAAAAAGCCGATTTCGCCGATCTTAGAGAAGACGACGACCAAAATCTCCGATCGCGTAGGGAACGGCGAACGTTCTCCTCCGAT